AGAAGGGGCTACAGCTCCTCCAACTGCTGTGGTAGGCATCTTGCCATGTATTGATGGAATATGTGATAAGCTTGAGGCAGCCCAGTACTCCATCCCTATATTTAAATTTGTAGCAGGACCAACAACTCCTCCAGGTGCAGAAGCTGCTGGCATAGGCATGACAGCCCTAGTGTGACTCATCATTGCTTGAGATGGTGCTTGATCTACACCATTGTGAAAACCATGTGCATTATTGTCACTTCAATATATCAACTGGTACATAAATAGGTCACTGGATTTGCAATGAAATACTACTAAACAACATAAGTATCCCACATATTTCTATATAAATACCATCAAAAGATTCACCTCCACCACTTGTCTTTGGCTGTGAGTCCTGGGTAATTCAAACAAAAGATACGATAAATTGTTATTCAATCAAACTAACAATTAGCATACAAAGAAGTATAAGTTCTACAATTATTCTTCATCAATCAAACAGGAATGATCACAATATCAATATGAATATACAAAGGAACCCAAAAATATCAGTTAAAGAACATTTATAAAAAAAAGTGACGATGACCTGAAAATATAGTGAAGAAGCAGATCTAAAGAAAATGTGTATCGTACAGTGACCAAATAATCAGGTAAACTGCACGATAACTGTTTACTCCATGATGCATGCTTAGAGCTAAACTATTTATCGACATCATTTTGGCCATAAATTCAGATTTACAAATGATCTTACAAGGATACACATGATACAGAAACTCATGTGTTACATATGTCCTAGCTTATTTTATAATTGGTCTATCCTACATTAGCAAATGTTACTAATCACATGGGTTGAACAAAGTAGATTTATCATCATTAAAACCAATCTAATGGGAGTGAATATGAAAAAAATTAAGACCTTGAACTTGAGAAATGCAGTTATATGTTGGAAAAAGCCACTTGTCATTTAACATTTGTATTGAGGCTGTAACTAAACAATTAGAAGTGTAGAAATAAAAGCATGTGTAAGATTGCTCCCTGTAGGGATAAGACCCTGCATTGGCAAGTCATTTACACTAGGTTGTCTATTTTATTTTTTCAACACATTAGTATATAGAGTTCCTCCAGGTGCACTTAATATTGAAAAAAAGATCTTCGTAATAACCACATCAAGCAAATGTGAATCATATAATTCATCAACTGTCGAATGTATTAATCTTCCCTAATCAAGCAACAGATAAATTTAAGTGTTTTGTGATTCATTAAAACAACTATAGTTTAGATGATATTGATCAAAAAATAATATACAACATGTACTGCCATGGTATTCTCTCTCAAGAAAACAAAACAATGT